CTGAGACATTAGATAAAAGTCGCAACATGCTCCTTGAAGAATTGCAGAGATGTGAGAGACTTGGGATACCACACTACAATTTCCATCCAGGTTTGTAAAGGAAGGTGATTTTACTTTCACCAGAGAGGGAATTTCCTGTTTTTTTTTTTTTCTTTTCTTTCTTCAAGTTTGCCTTAATAAACTGTTCATTCTGAGATTCCCCCCTCCCCCATTTAGTTGATCAATATCTTTAGATGAATTAGATTGAAAATATAAACTCAATCTTATTGTTGATCTTAGGATTATCCTTTCTAAGCATAGATTGTAACTGTTTGTGATATGAACAGGTTTGCATCCAGGAAACTCTCCTTCAGTATATTATATATTTATTTGGGATCATTTATATATGTAATTTAAAGAACTTGAAAGTTTATTTATGAGGTATTAGGAGATGGTGGGTATTAGACAGCTACTCAATTTTCAGAACAATATTTCCTTTGAAAACTGTAACCAGCATTTTAACTTTTCTGATCAAGTTTTCCTTGAGACAGTGGTAGATAGATTGATAGTGATGGAGAGTGATAGAAAGAGTGAGAGTGACTGACAGAAAGATGCCTCCCCTTTCTAATGTTACTCTCTTTTTCTGTATGATTATTTTAAACTTCTTTGCTAGTTTCCACTGTCTATATTTGTCATTTGATTTGCCTTATCCAGATGGTAAAAAAAATTTTTTATGTGCATTTGACTCCATATCATCTCTCTAGGTAGTCCATAACTCAGTGCAATAATAATAACACCAAGTAACATTTTGTTATTTGTGCCATGATTTTTTTGGTAGTATTCAATTTTCTATAATAAAACTGTGCCACCATTAACAGCAACCAGGACATAGGATCCTTAAGGGGATCGTCTCCTTTTTTTCCGGATTTTTTTGCCCATCTTGCCGAAATTGAGTTATATGCATTTTCTACGAGTTCCTAAGCCCCCGGTTCTCCCCTGAAAATTTCAAGGCCCGACTGTTATTTTTTAGGTGGTAGTAGCTGTTTTCGATGTTGATTGAAATATTATTTTTTTCATGTTACCTTGGAAAATTGGCAATTGTGACGCAATAATTAAAGATAATAAAGATATGAGATTATTTTCTGAATGCTTATTAAATTTCACATAAGGTGAGGCCAATCTTTATTTTTTCGGAATTATTTTTAAAATCTGGCAAGCATCCAAAAAACGATAATGAAGAAATTTAACATACAAATGAATAAACATGATATGCCGTTCGTATGGAGTATTTTATTTTCTTTATGATTTTATCATAATTAGTTTGATCTATGAGCAAAGCATTTTGAAAATGCAAACCTCCTCCCCCCAAATCAGGGGTAGGATTGCCAAATGATCCAGATCATCACTAAAATTTTATGGAATAATAATTAGGTGAAGACAAACCTCAGGTAAAAAAATTATTAAAATCTGTTCATAACTTTTCGAGTTAGAAAAAAAAATCCTGGATCCAAACCATGGTCCGCATCACCACCAAAGTGCAATAAGCGTCTAAGTTAGGTTAAAATACACCTTTGGAAATAGTTTCCTTCCTGGAGCTAGCACTCTTCCAGTCATGGCTTATGGACAGCACATTCCACACTTGATTGTCAGTGGGAATATGCAAAATTGCATCCTAAATACCAAATGAGTCTAACCACCCACCAAGAGCTTTGCACACTTGTAAGGGACTGTCTAACCATGATCTGATACAACATCAACTGTACTGAGTAGGTAACAGTAGAATGACTTCAATTCATATCATGAAAATTGAATTGGAATGCCAAATGGCAAGTATCTGTAAAGCATGGATAAGTCAATTCTAAGTTATGTGCTCTAAACAGTTACAGTCCCCCAAGAATATCATATGTGCTGCAGTCAAAATGATAGAGAGTGGGGAAAGTATATATTTCCAGTTTCTAATTTTTCACTCTGTTGGGCGACTGTATCTCATGCTTGGTGTGTAGCATGATATAGCGTGGAAAAAATATATTGTCATTGAGTTACTGTCAGACAGTTCACCAGTTACTTATAGAAATCTATTGTAAAATAGGAGGGTAAAAATTGAAATTCTGTGAAGCACTGGGGAAATGTTATACTCTCTCTCTTTGAAAGCTCTTAGAACCTCACCTATCATCCACCACAAGTACTCTCCTTCCCAAGAAGCACTCAGTAGTCCTGCTTTATTCTCTCAGATAATGTAGTTTCTTGTACTTCCTCTAATAAACAAATACTAGTTTGGGAGTTTTTCTTTTGTTATGGATTATATTGTTGAAGTATGTCTAATATATACAACTGCCAGTTAAATCTAAAATGATTTTGATATGATGGGTGGGTGCTTCATGCATAGGGTGATGTGATGGTGTGGTAGTAGCTTAGATAGTGGTAAGTGCCTTGCATGCCTTTTTGCTTGCAGCTGCCACCGTTGGCTTACCTGGTGTGAAAAGGGACCAGCTGTGCCTAGGTCTCCCCTGCCAGCTTATAGCCTCTCCATCAAGACTTCTGCTGTGCCACCTCATGGTCACCCATGGAAACTAGGTACCTTGTGGTCCTAGGCTGAACTATGGAGGTTCTTAGAGCAGCAGGAGGTCCTATTGGTATGGAGTCATGGCCCACTGTCATGCCCTGGCTTTGTACTAACTCCTGCCACATTACTCCCTGGGGTTTATGTATAACTGTGGGGAGGCAGGCCTTGCCAGTCTGCCTCCCCAAGAGAACTCAACCAACAGTGAAACGTATAGATGTTGGTGCTGAGGGGAGGATAAACGTCCCTCCCACCCAGTAAGTAAGGCAGGTTGTGGGTCCCTCTAGGTTGATGACCACTGGGACTTGGACTGGAAGCTGGGGTTACCCTGTAGTAGATGATGTTGCATCTACTACTTGAACTAGTCAGTATCTCTTTCTAGAGGTGTTGAAGTGGGTCTGAGTTCCCACAGGTATGGCTGGGTGTTGGAGATGGAGTTGGAGAGCCTCCCTGTTGGTGAAGGACTGGGCAGTCCTTGACTTGCTTCTATTTATTGTACTTTGAGGATCAAGAGATGCTGATCACGGCCCAGATTCTGGAACTTGAGTACCTTGAAGCTTTGCCAGCAAACTGGGAATGAGGGGAGCCTGTTGGTGAGTGAGCAGGGACAAGGCTTTGGACTTGGTATGACCCAGCCTAACAAGTATGTTAAGCTACAGGTTGTGGGATTGTGCTGGGACCCCCACAGATGGATTATGGGACCTGCAGCCTGCCCCCCTCTCACTAAATGGTGGCAGAGGTGGCGTTCACCTACAGGAGAGGAATTGGTAACCACTACTGTTGAGTGAACTGAAGCGGCTGAGAGTTGAGGTGGCTGCTCTCTTGGAGGTGAGAAGACCTGACAATGGTATGATCATTGTGGGCGACTACATCTTTTACTGGTCGGGCTGCAGCGATGGTCACCATCTTCAGGGGGTAGCCATAGCCATCTCCAGCAGATTTCAACCCTTAGTAGTTGAGGGTACTCCGGTAGAAGAGTATTGTGACTGAAGCTTGCATTTGGCTTCATGTCTCGTATTGCAGTATATGCTCCTACTGATGTAAACTTGACGTGAAAAAAATGTTTTATGCCAGACTTGCTTCTGTAACAGACATTTGTCATTTGACATTTGTATTGTTCTAAGTAACTTGGCAGGTAGCCACAACTAATCTATGATCCGTACCACAAAACTCAGCAATCCAATACACTGCAGTTCTTGAGGATCCTCCAATGAGTGCTAACAAGAATGTGGTCGATCTCCTTGGCTGCATCTACATACTATGTCCAACAATGCAGGTCAGTGTGCTGGTACCAAGAGCCAGAAATCCTTAGTTTCTCCTGGACAACCTGATGGACCCTGTAATTCTATTGGACACCTTCAAGTGTAAAATGCTTGATGCAACTCAAGAATCAATTGGTGAATGCCCAAGAGCATGGCAGGAGACACTGGAAGCCACAGAAACTTGTACAGATTGTTTGACAGGGGATCACGGTTTACATTGTTCCCTTGTGCGCAGGACCCAGTCACTGTTGAAAAAGGATAAGGAACAGTTTATTAGGAGTCTTGCAGAGGAGGTTGAAGGCCATTTCTTAGTAAATGATCTTCACCTGGAGAAAGTTAAACAAGACCTCCTCACAGGTGATTGCAGTCCACTTGGTAAATGGCCAAATCATCTCAGATCCTGTTGGGGTGTAGGAGTTTTGGGCTGAGTATTTTGAGCATTTGTACCAGGTTGATCCACCAATAGTAACTTGGATGTCAGTAGTGTTGAGATTCCTTAGCTGGACTCACTCATCAGGAGGATATACCCTCCCTAACAGAAGTTAAGGGGGCCATTTCTAAGCTGAAGAGTGGTAAAGCAGTGGGTGTCTGTGGCATCCCAGCTGAACTGTTAAAGGCTGGTGGTGAACCTATTGAAAAGGGTTTCTAAGCTGTTCCAGCTGCCATGTGGCAGTCTCTCTGACTTGTTGAGGGGTGTGGTCATCCCTTTCTGGAGGTGGAAAGGGGATCAATGGAATTACAGCAATCACCAAGGCACTACGCTGGTAGTGCAAGGTTCTCACAAACATCCTTCTGAGATGCATCAGAGACTACCTACTGAGGTACTAGAGGCTGGAGCAATTTAGATTCACTCCTGATGAGTCCACAATAGAATGCTGTCCAAAGCATTGTAGAACACGATTGTGAATTTGGCATTGGGCTGCTTGCAGCTTACATCGACCTCAAGAAAGCGTTCATTATCTATGATCCGTACCACAAGAATCACTGGTGCATCAAGAATCAGGGGGAGATCCAGGCCTCTGTTGGAGACAACCCTGGGTGGAGGAGGCCTGTGGGACAATTTAGGAAGTCGTGGCTTAGACAGATTGATCAAACCAGTTGTGAAGAGCTTGGGAAGAGCCAAATTCCTGCCTGGCAGCTTACCATGGGGAACCCTTGTAGGTGGAAACAAAGGGTGGATATGGCTATGTGCACCAGTTGGCCTTAGCTCCCCAATGATGAGTGATGATTGATATTTTACCAGTCAGTGGAAGAAGACATTAAAGTTTACTAGATCACTGTGTTAGGAACATATAAATTTATCGTGATTGTCACCAATTAAATAATTTGCACATTATTGAATGTCATTTGAATTTCTTGGGTTAAGTCTGAATCAATGCACAATGTTTTTCATAACATCCAGATGAATGTAATTTTTTTTTCCAGGATCCACCACAGGTCAAATCAGTCGTGAAGAATGTTGCAAGCTCATTGCTGAAAGTATCAACAAAGCACATGAACAAACTAAGGGAGTGATATGTGTTTTGGAAAATATGAGCTGTCAGGTAATTTTTCAAAAGACAGATATTAATAGAAAATTTAGTGTGTGAATATTCTTAAGGAGCAGATTAATTAACTTCTTGCAGAGAAAAAATAAGACGTTTCACTTCTTCAGTATGTTTTTCCTTGGTGCCCACTTATATACTGCAGATTTCATGGAGCAGGAGTGTAGGGACAGGAGGGCATGGCATGTGAGGGCATGAGGGTGGTAGGTAGGAGCTGTTGGCTGGAAAAGTGAAGATGTTTAAAGTGGTAGGGATTTTAAAATAGGAACCCCTTACTTTCATATCTTTGATTTAGAGTATCTTGATTACTTTTAGATAGATAACTAGTACAAAGCCCATTCACACTCACTCACTCATATATGCACTCATTCACTCATATTTACTCAATCACACATATGCACACTCACTCACTCATGCATATGCACTCACTCACTCATGCACATGCACAAATGTGTGCACACATGCACACTCACTCACTCACTCACTCACTCACTCACTCACTCACTCTCTGTCTCTCTCTCTCTTGCTAATTCACTCATATGCACTCACAGACTTGTATATGCGCTCACATACATATGAACAAACACAATCAATATGAACTCACTCATATATGCACTGACTCACACATGCACTCTCTCACTCACATTAACTCACACATGCAGTCACTCGGTCCCACATGCAGTCACTCGGTCCCACATGCAGTCACTCACACATGGACTGACTCACA